TATATAATCTCAAAAACTTATACATACAAAATTGTACATTGGTATCAAAATGTTTTAGTTCTTTATTTTCATTACTATTGTCAAGTTTTTCGCAACTACTATCAAAGTAATCCTGAATATCTCTTGGGACCGGTTCACATTTCCATTTGATATGATCAGCGAAATCTTGAGATAACTGTTGTAAATTGTTTTCTGTAATTTCTTTACATCCATGAAGACTTTCTCTGGTCAGATCGAGCACTCTCCAATATGCAGGATTATGAAATATTAAAATAAAAGAAATGTATTAATAATCAAACCATAATCATAAAGAGACACCAAACTTATGTGAAAACTCTGCGAATTTTAGGGATTTTATTTTGATATGTTTGGAATGAATTCAAAATGTCATCAAATATAAATATAAGTGAATCCTATCGAGGATAGATAATGAGTTTACTGAATATAATGTATTCTCACAGTCAAAATCATTAAGATCTTACCTTATTATCACTCGCTTGCGGCAATTTTATTTCATCTTCGAGTGTATTTTCATCAATTTTATTTATAATTGTATCTTCATTCGAATCATTAAAAAGAAATGCTAGTCTATCGTAACCTGGTAATTCGTCATTTTCTAATTTCCTTTTAAGATTATTTTTGCGTGTTGGACTTATTTCCGTAAATTCATCATCACTATGCACTTTATTAGAGTCCTTCCAAAGAAACATAATAAATATGATGATTAAGAGTTAAGATTCTACTTTACGACCGTACGTACATATTAAAATTTACCTGCATTGCATCCTCGTCTTCCTCATTTTTCTTGCCTTGCTTTCCTAATGTACTGTTTAAGATTTCATTCGTCTGCATCATATAACCTTTTGTCATTGTGCTCTTTATCATTGACTCGCTAGAAATTGTTGCAAGCACGTGTGCATAGAAGTCCTGCTCAAAGACATCCCGTAAATTCTCAAATTCCTTAGAGCTATTGAATTCAATTAGCTCTCTCACAAAATTCACAATTGATTCTGGGACACTTTTTTGCTTCATAATAAATTTCAGGCTGGCGGTCCAGTTGTTGTGAATTTCATTGAATGTATTTGGTGCGTCTCCAGAGTGAATGATAGTAGAATAAAAACGTTGAAATGACCACATTGAAGCATCTGTGTTCATGAAGAAAGGATATTTCTTGCGTTTAAAGCGATATGTTCTGACATCTGAATCAATTACTAGATTTGACATATTTAAAAATAAATTTTTTTTTTTGTCTGGAGTAAAGCGTAAAGCGTATGGAAATTTATACTTTTATCAAGGGGACAGGTAAATAAACGTGGACCAATAAGCATAGATAAATTTCCATTGTTACACTATCGATAATATACTATTAAAATACATTACGTAATATTTACGATGGGTCACTAATTAACAAATAATAAAATTCTATTCATTCAGAACCTCAGCTTTTTGCGCGTCAGATTCGAGTGTTTCATCTCATTGATCAAGTTAACTACAAAAATTCAATGAGACCAAAAAAGCTTCCATTTATCATATGTAATACTGCTGCTGATATAAAGTATCGCTCAGTTAAAGAATTAGGACTGAACAAGGCAAATTCTGACAAAACCAATATTTCAAACTTAAGATTAGGCGATATTCTTTGTCATAATTGTTACATGAAAACAATAGAATGGAATCGATATGAAAAGAAGAAGTCTAGAGTTAAAATACAATTGAAATATGATGATTTTACTTATCAAACGAAGATAAATCGTGTTACAATGTCTCAAAAGAAATATGAAAACCTTTCTGAAAAAGTAAAGGGTTTGAAGAATTGCAAGAACATATAAATCAACTTGAACTTATGTTAGAACACGCCTTAAGTTGGTATAATAATTATATTTATTGTAATAATACTCTTAGAAAACCCACTTTCGCTAATTTCTTCATTGATAAAATGAGACAGCTTACATCTGTATTATATATATTGCAACACATCAAGAAAAATGAAAGCCATTTACAGATCCAGAAGAGTATTAGAGTTATTGAATCAAGAGATCCAGAATTACAAGGATTTTTCAATACTGTGTATCAATTAGCAAATCCTTCTGCAAAAAACAAATATACATAACAGCATCTACAAATAAAAGTTATGTTTATATGTTACCGAATGGCTGTTTTGCATAATAACAAGTTAGTGTGATATCAAAGCTTCTATAAGACTTTTTATGTCAGGATGTGAAACATCTGTAAATGAAATTAATT